GCTACGTTGATCCAACACATGCTTTTGTAACAAGTCGATAAGTCCCCAATCTTTTGATAAAAGTTTAATTAATATCCTAGAACCGTAAAGATTTTAGTTTCATCCATGACAGCCATGTATGATGGTTGATATACGGAAACGTTTATTCCATCAACAAAGTACTTGAATGCAGCTTGAACGGTGCTTTCAGTCTTGTGAGAGACAATAGGCGATGGAAGCTACCTATCCAGTGCTGCACTGCTTGGAATTTTCTTTAGGGTAAAATTAAAAAATGTAGTACCTTTGCAAGGTCAAGTATCGGCTATGCCGGTTCGGAGAAAATAGTTGCCAACCCAATCTACACTTTCAGTCTTAATGCATTTCCTTTTTGATCGATTGTATTGTGCGCTGCTTTCTGCTCCCGGACCTTTTGGTAGCTTCTCCTTACAGAACACCAGTAAGAAATCTTCAATAGTTCCTCTCTTTTACATCTGACGAAATAGGTCATTCTTTGTGATTTCATCTTGTTTAAGTATGAGGATATGGCTTCCTCCAGTCTACCATCAAGTTCTAAGAGAAAGTTGAGGCAAAAGCAACAACTTACGGAACTTAATAACGACGACAAATAGAAGTGAATGAGAACTATCGGATTTTTCGAATCACCGGGTAGATGGAGGTGTTTTGTTGGGTGCATTTCCAGGGCATGCTTTGTATGAACATTACACGCTTGGAAACCCACTTTGTCCCTGTACTAAGTCAATTGGTCGAGAATCACTTCCAGTTGTCCCGAAATCGATTGGTCTACGCCAATGGGATTTATCCACACCGTCAGATAGCGAAAATATTACATCCTGTGAGGCTTTAGTTGACCCTCTAGTGTCAAATGATACTCAAGTGGCGGAGAATACTTTACTAAATTCCTATTGTTTACGATCAGAAAGAAGGATGAATATTTCACATTGTCTATGATGAGAGGATTCTCTAATACGTTTCATCTTCGTACTATAAGGATCCTATTTATCGTAACCCACAAAGTGCAATGGACAGCTCTTTCGTCCTGTCAAAACTCGTCAGCAGTGAATGCATTTAATGTCCTAGCCGGGGCTTGAGACGAGAACATTCGGGTCTGGAGTCGGAACCCTTACAACCCCACCCACCCTTCCTGAGCTACACAGTTGACAGTCAATACAACATTTAGCGAATGGCTATATCAATCGAAATTGTTAATTTGGGGTTTAGCTCATTCGATCGGTGAAGATACAGTGCCCAATGCCTGTAAGAATCTAAAAAAACGAAATTAAATTCTTTGGTTCACCTAGGTCTCATTGGTTTGATTGACCGCCTTATCCTTCCGGGTATTTATTTGCACATTTATAGATCCAGCAAAGGAAGCAAAGGAAAGGAGAAAAAAGATGTCTGATGGTTTTTTTTGTTTGAGATGTTTGTATTAGAACCGCTCTTCATTTAGATGAGAGCGACCACCCCCTTCCGGCTCATTCCCGTACTCGGCTAGCTTGATGGGTGATCAGGGCCAACTTGAAATAGCTACGGTTGAATTTGTCACAACATAACCGCAATCGACCTTACCTACCTTAATCTAGGAATATATCACGGGCGCATATTTCTCACATATGTAGTGAATCCGAAACTTAATAGGAACCCATATATATCGGATGATATAGATTTTCGAAATCATGAATTTTATACAGAAAACATCACTTTTTAAAAGAAAGATCTATGCTTGAACTCAGGATTCATTCAAACAATACATAACTATTCAATACTGTGTGTTATTGTATTTCATTAACTCTTTCTCTCTCTCACACACACTCTTCGCGCTATTCCAAATGTAGTTGTTTTTATAGGAATATCTTATTTCCTTACGCATATTTGTTCATTTTATATTTAAAGGGGGGG